TTATTTCTCCCTGTTTCATATTTTGAAAATAGAAATATATATGTATACAATAAAATAGTGTTTTTTTTATATTTCCCCCTGTTTCTCTCAAACACACACACACACACACACACACACACACACACACACACACACACACACATATATATATATATATATATTTAATTCAGTTTTGTTATCAATTTAGTGGACAACTTTTCAGTAGATGTATGTTTTGGTAAAAAAAAAAATGATGTGGATTGTTTGTGGTAGATATGTTCGTGTCTATGGTGGGAAAGTTTTTATGGACAAGAACACGCAAATGGAATCAATGCATTACTTATACCTCTATAGTTTTCTATAGTTTCCCATGGTTCATGATTTAATAAATATTGGGTAGAGTTGTGTGGATAAATTTTTGTCGATAAGTTTGTGTGGATAGATTTTTGTGGATGAGTTTGTTTGAACAGGTTTTTGTGGATGGTAATAGAACTGTCTGAAAACAATATACTGGTTCAGGATAAAATGTATATCGGAGTAAGTGAATGAAATATAGTGTAGAAGAGAAAAGTGCATGCGGATGGTCAATTTCTAATGACGTTAATATATTTTAGTATTTTATTTTTTTAATATAAATAAAGTGTGTATATTGCATTGGTGTGTTCATTTGCATAAAATGGATAAAAATTCCGATTTGAAACTTTGGCGCAAATTAGAAAAAAAAAATGCTTTGTTGGAAACTGTTGGGGGGGACAAATTCAAGATTAATCAAAAATACAGAGACCAAAATGGAAAATCTAATAAACTTGGCTTATAGCAGATCGATCGGTTACGATCAACCGGATTGATCGACCTTGAGTTTGAAGAAATAAAAATAAAAAACTGAAGATACAGAGAACAAGAGGACACAGAGGCGAGAGGCTGAGCGCAAAGAGACGTCTCTGATAGGCTGATGAGCGGAGCATTCTCAGATCAAGTAAATCGTGGTGAAGGTTGTGATGGATTGGATCAAAGAGACCGCTCCGGAGCTTCTCAACAGTTGCTCAACCGGATTTCGTACTGTAGATGAGTACAACTGCCGCAAGAGGAGAGCGTGGAGTGGTGGTTGAAACACGAGCTCAGCCGCGAATTAAATACATAATTTTGTGGAGGACATGCCACTGTGTACGGATCATTATGGACAAGTTTTTATGGGCTACTGAAAACAATAGGTTTTATTGCGAAGAAAATAAATTTATGAAAATTATATGGAATTATAAGGTGTAGATATAATCATTGGTTTTAATTGATTGAATACAGTATTAGATTTAGTAAAAACAGTAGATCTAGGATCTGATTGGGTTGTAGCTGTAGCTTTAAATTAATTGATGTAGAATTCAGGCTGTAGCGTTTTGTGTTGTAGCTGTAGAATTTTGGCTATGGAATTTTTATATGTGAGTTTAAAAAAAAACTATTAGTAAATATTCTTAATGTATTTTAGTTTAATAATTCAACTAGTATTATTTTAAATTAAAAAAATTGATAAATAATAATAAAATTTTCTGAACTGGAAAATTATTATATTAGTATGAAGTAGCTACAATATAATTATGAAATAATTATTTTAGATAAATGAATACATTTGGTAGGTATCATACGTAATCAACAATTATGAAATTTTTATTTATATGCATATGAAATTTATAATTACACATCCATATATATCCATAGTAGTAATTATCTAGTGAAATCTAAATGTAGTCATGTACTATAAATATATATCATTAATAATTATACTTATATTTTAGAAAGAAATATACATTTATATAGGAAAGAGAAAAATCATCACGGAAAACACTTGTAATACTGCTTTGAAAAAATTGCTCTGTAAAGCAATAAAATGAAGTAAACACTAGTTATGGCTGTGAGTTCTAAAACGTAAAATAAAGTTTGACTGATGTGTTTTTACTACTGTAGACAGAAATAAAGCTGTGTACAGCCCTCACAGCTCTCCCCAATCATACCCCTATCCTTTTCACCAAGCGCTCCTAGTGCGTTTCAGGGACAGCCATATCATTTAGTATCCGAGCAGAGTCTTAGGTTTGATGTTCATTTCTGTCATCCATCATTTTCATGGGAAAAACACCAATTTCGACCCCAACAATTTATGTCGTGTCAGATACGACCGAACAAATGGTCAGTGCTAAATACGACCTCAATTCAGTTATAATTCCAAAAAAAACTACCCTAACTTTTTAAAACATGCATACATTTACATTGACTCTAGCAGAAGTTAGTCAACCGTTAACAAGATAAAACGACATCATTTTGATATATGGGAAAAATGCTAATTTCAACCCCGACAAATTCAATTGTGCCAAAGGGTAAAGCACTAATGGACTTCAAAATACAAAGTTCCCAAACAAAAAATTTTCCCTAGAGCATCAAAGTGCAAGATGCAGTTTTCCTAAAGTGATCACTTCAGGTCTCTAGGTAACTTCGCAGATTTTCCTAGAGCAACAAAATGCTGAAGACCAGTTCCTGAAGTGGACACTTCAGAACTGTAGGTGAAACTGTGTTTCTTCTTCTTCCTCTTTGACTTTGGCCCCATAACTTTCATTTTGTGCATTTTGTCCTCCATACAGCCCCATAACTTTAGATTGAGCACTCCAGTCCCTCTGATTCAAATATGTACATATGAACTCCTAATGACACCTAAATGCAATCTTTAGACATTAAAAGGACCAAAATCACTAGCTAAAAACATGTAAAAATGACACATATCAATGGTTAGTGCCAAATACGACCTCAACTCAGTTATAATTTAATAAAAATACTACCAAAACTATTTAAAATGTGCATAAATCTACATTGACTCTAACATAAATTAGTCAGCCGTTAACAAGATAAAACGATATCGTTTGATATATATATATATATATATATATATATATATATATATATATATATATATATATATATATATATATATATATATATATATATATATATATATATATGTGTGTGTATATATATATATGTGTGTGTGTGTGTGTTCATTCTGGGACTCAAATCCCGGCAGCGATCACTTTTAAAGGGGCTCACTCAAAACTAGACTAAAGTAACTTTTTGAAATATTATTACAAATTTGAAATTATATAAACTACTATCTTATCTAATTTAAAAATTTGGTGATGCTTATTTCTGATTTATATAAATACATTAACATGTTTTTTACATATCATATCTTAATCAGCAAAAGTTTCTATATTTAATATCATATGATTGTAAATATTTTATTATGTATATTTTAGTAGGATTTAAGTTTATTAAAGTTATGATAGGTAAAAAAACCATGTTAATGTATTTAATATCAGAAAAAATCATCACCAAAGTTTTAAATTGGATAAGACAAAAAAGAATAGTAGTTTATAAAATTTCAAATTAGTAATAATATTTCAAAAAGTTACTTTAGTTTAGTTGTTAGTGTGCCCCTTTAAAAGGGTGTCATGGCATGGGTTTGAGTCCCCAAATGAACATATATATTTTTTTTAAAATATATATATATATATATATCAAAATGGCGTCATTTTATATTGTTAACGGCTGATTAACTTCTGTTAGAGTCAATGTAGATTTAGATACGCTTTAAGAAATCAAGGTATTTTTTAATTATAATTAAGTTGAGGTTGTATTTGGTACTGGCTATTTGTTCGGGTCGTATTTGGCACGACTGAAATTGTTGGGGTCAAAATTGGCACTTTTGCCCTATATCAACACAATGTTGTTTTATCGTGTCACCGGTTGAAAAACTTCTGTTAGAGTGGAGAAGTTTATCATGCCAATGTAAATTGATACACGTTTTAAAAAGTTCAGATAATTTTTTTTTTAATTACAATTGAGTTGAGATGGTATTTGGCACTTATCATTTGTTTGGTCGTAATTGAAACGACTAAAACTATTGGGATCGAATTTGTCCCTTTTCCCTCATCTTCATGTATCCCTCTTTATAAAAATAATGAACGACCTAAAACCAACATTATCGGCCACTTTTACCTTTGTCCTTAGGTGAAAAAGGTGTGGGCTTCACCACTTTGGTGGAAAATTGTCTCGCGTTGTTCTTAAATAAGGAACGTCCGCCATATTGTCCTTCACTATTTGCAGATCCCACTAACATATGGCGGCCCGCAATTGATCGATTTAAAATTTTTTTTTTAAGTCAAAAAAAAAAAAATTTAAAAAGCCCACAGAAGTCTCACCGATAAGGTTGCTCTAAAGGCTAGAAGAAGATGTACTGTTTCTTTTGGAATTAAAAGAGATCATATCCATATTACTGAACAAAAGGCAATGAAAGAGATGGAGCGAGACAGGAGACTAAAGAGATTTAAACAAGGCAAAGAAAAGGCGGCTTAAATGAGACAAGCAAATGAGGTTAGTTCATGCCAAACAAAGAAAAGAGGATGGGGCAATGCAAACGGTTTGAAACTAAATTTAGCTCCTGGTTTGAGCATAACACAGCAGCAAGAAGGAAACACGACCCTATAGTGACTCTGGCTCAGCTTGTGTGAAGCTAATCAGTCCAAAGGAGGCAGATCTAGAGCCACCCCCAAAACCGATTGTTGAGGTTCACCTGGCCAGAAAAGAAACAAGGCATAGTGATGGCTTGAGAGAGATGGTTGCAATCATTCAAGGAAAAGAACCACAGGAAGCGTTAGTTGCTGCATTATCAGAACCAAAGAGGCAACACACACGTTCATCGCCTATGACCCGACCAAAGCGAGTCAAGTTCGACTAGTGACCAATTTAGAGAAGCCAAAGGTTATTAATTATGTTCTAGAAGTTTAGGCAAACATGGTTTATCAAGTGATACAATAATTAATTATATTTTCCTTGTTTTTTAATGAGCCAGGTTGCACGCGGGAAAGTTTTAAAATAGTAGAGAAGCTCTCTGATCCCAATCTATATCAGGTGATCATATTCTCTTCATTTCACAAAAGTTTCAAAAAAGGGTCTTTCTTCTTTGATCTTGATCTTGAGCAATGATGGCAACAAACATCATCGACTTTCAGAACTGCTTTATCCTTCTCTTCCTCTGCTTCTTCTCACTACTCTGTTACACTCTCTTCTTCAGGAAACCAAAGGACTTTACTCTGCCTCCGAGTCCTCCTTCTCTACCCATCATTGGTCATCTTCATCTTCTTCTCTCTGTTCTAATCCACAGATCTTTACAGAAACTCTCCTCTAAGTATGGTTCTATTCTCTATCTCCGCATCTTCAGCTCCCCCATAGTCCTCGTCTCCTCAGCCTCAGTTGCTTACGAGATCTTCAGGGCACACGACGTTAACATTTCCTCTCGTGGATTCCCTCCGTCCGAAGATTCCCTTTTCGCTGGATCTTCCAGCTTCATCTCTGCTCCCTATGGAGATTACTTTAAGTTCATGAAGAAGGTTCTTGTCACCAACCTGTTAGGAACTCAGGCTCTCAAGCGGTCACGAAGAGTCCGTGCTGATGAGCTAGATCGGTTTTACAATAAATTGTACGAGAACGCAGGGAAGAAGGAGACCGTGGAGATCTTTGAGGAAGCGTTGAAGCTCACTAACAACAGCATCTGCAAGTTAATCATGGGGAGGTGTTGTCCAGAGGAGGAAGGTGTGGTGGAAAGACTCAAGGAATTAGCTACTGAGTTAGATTTTTTGTCGAAGAAGATTTTGTTTGCAAACCTATTGCCCTCATGGTTAAAGAAGCTTGTTCTCTCACTGTTCAAAAAGGAAGTGAAGGTTCTTTCAAACAGCTTCAATGAGCTGCTCGAAAAGATTCTTGTGGAACACGAAGAGAAGCAGGGAGAGCAACATCAAGATAAGGACTTGATAGACATGTTGTTGGCAGCTTATGGAGACGAAAATGCAGAGTATAAGATCACTCGGAACCATATCAAGTCTTTTTATGTGGTAAATATTTCTTCCAAGAAGTGGTTTCTTTAAGGCAAAAAAAAAAAAAAACACTGCTATGCTTAAGAAAATGTTTTGCAACTGCAGGATCTTTTATTTGCAGGCATTACCAACTCGGCGCTACCGATACAGTGGATATTGGCAGAGATCATCAACAGCCCCAAGACACTCGAGAGATTAAGAAGGGAACTCGACTCCATGGTTGGGACAACAAGATTGATTCAAGAAACAGATTTACCAAACCTCCCTTATTTGCAAGCAGTGGTCAAGGAAGGGCTAAGACTGCACCCGCCGGAGCCTATCTTCGAGAGATTCTTCCAAGAAGGGTGTAAGGTAGGAGGGTTCTATGTACCAGAGAAAACAACCCTAATGGTTAATGCTTATGCAGTGATGAGAGATCCAAAGTACTGGGCAGATCCTGATGAGTTTAAGCCAGAGAGGTTTCTAGATACATGGCAAGAGGAGGAGAGAAAAGAGCAAGCACTTAAGTACATTCCTTTCGGAAGTGGAAGAAGAGGCTGTCCTGGAGAAAATCTAGCTCATATCCTTATAGGAACTGCAATTGGAGTGATGATTCAGGGATTTGAATGGAGGTTCAAAGAAGACAAAGTTAACATGGAAGAGGCTGTTGCAGGACTGAGCTTGACTATGGCTCATCCTCTTATGTGCACTCCTGTTGCTCGAACTCTAAACCCTCTAACGAGTGGTGGTAGCTTCTAGCTCCCAACACTTGCTCCTCCATTCTCCACTACGTTGTTAAATTATTTAGTGGATGTATCCAAAAGAAAAAAAAAATGATCTGATCACATATATTATTGTAAGAAAAAGACTTCAGCTTTATATTGTTTCACGTATTTCCAAGAAGAAAAGACTATGTAGTTATTAGTGAGACACTCATGAATTTGAATTAAAGGATACTCTGCTTCTTCACTTTTGAGGAATAATGTTTATTAGTGTTTTTAATAGTGTATAACTCATATGTTGACTCTTTTATCGGGCCAGAGTTTTTTTTTTTTTTTTTGGAGGCTTTGGTGTTATTTAGAGCATGTTTATCGGTTTGTTCATTAGCCTAGGTTTCTTAAAAAAAATTACTTTTTTATTTTATTTTTTTGCCGATTAAAAAAAATTGAAAAAGGATTAATTGCTAGCTGCCACGTGTTATGTGGCCCATAAAACAGTCTATGTTACGGAACAAAAACGTTCCTTCTTTTGCATACACAAGCAACATTTTTTGTGACTTCCGTGGGGCTGCGAATTTTCAATTAATTTTTTGTTATGAAACCGAAGATAAACAACTCCGATAAACATGCTCTTTAGTGTTATACAAGTTTACGTCTAGTCAGTGCCGATTTAAAATTATATTGGACTTTTGGACAAAATTTTTTTTATGTATTATAATTTGTTAAGCATAATATTATGGACCTTTCTTATAAAAACAAATATAAATATAGATTGAGTGACGGATCTAGAAACATTTTGAGTTGATTGCATAATACTAAAAACAACAGAAATAAAATTTAATTGGGGGTACGTGACCATGTTACCGTAGGCATCCGTCCCCCTGTATAGACCCTTTTTTATCATTAGATTTAGTTAATTTTAAGATGAAGCATGACATATGCCATGTTTGCCATCCTCTAGAACCAATATTGGGTCTAGTAGTAACAAAAGAGGTCGAATTAGATGTAAAAAATTGGAAATGAAAAATTATGCAGATACATCAGCAGTTTAGCAAGGGATGGAGGACTTCCCATTGATGGTTGAATCTCAAATTTTTGACACAAGATATATAATTGAATCAACATTCCAATGCCGCCGGTTTGAGGTTGATTCATCGATAGATCTTTTTTTTGAAACACTTTTTTTTTTTTTTTTTGAAACACGATTCATCGATAGATCAAAAGTTATGTTTTTTTTACTGAAGACTGACCTGACTGCCAATTAAATACGAGAAAAAAGTAGAACTTTTGTTTCTCGGTTTGGATTTTCCTAAAATTTGACAAGTGCGTGTTTTTAACTTATCTACTATTTGATATTTAGGCTAATCTTATTTTTATATCATATTCTTTTAGGGTTTAGAGCTCTCAAGTGCCGAGATAATCTTTTTGAACTACTGTTTTACCTCTTTAATCTATGTATGTAGACTGTATCATTCATCTTGTGTTCTTTTGTTATGTATGGGTAGCTTCATAGTTAGGTTTTAGGTTTCAGAAGTATTTATGAGAATAAATGTTTAGAATTGTTTGATAAGGGAATCTTAATTAAGTTTCAACTGGATTGCTTTTTAAGCATCGACTTGATTGATCAATCTAATGGAAGTTGATATTATTGCGCTTTGTGAATTTATCAAAACTCGAACCTAAGACATGTCTAATCTCTTAGGTTCAATGGGAGTTAGTGCTCTAGTTTATTATACATAGTGATTGGAACCACTGTAATGGGAAGATTCAAAGAATTCAAGAAGGTTTATGATCCTGGTAAGTTTAAGCCAAAAGGTTTCTTCTAGCTTCAGGGCAAGATAGAAGGAGAGAAGAGAGGTCTCCTGAAGGAAATCTAACTTATTTTGTTTATAGGAACTGCATTTGAGATATTTGATGGCACAATCAAAGGAGGGAAATTTAACATGGAAGAACTTACAAGACTGATCTTTACCATGGCTCATCCTCTCTTAAGTGCATCATGTTTCTAGAACCCTGGATATTAGTCTGCATAAGTCATGGTGTCTAAAAGTATCATGTGATCTTTCTGAAAAACTGACCGAAAATTTGAAGTACACTGTAATGATATATATATAGACTAGTCCAAACAATTTTTTTTTTAAAATCTTTCAACATAACAAGCTTGTAACATCACTGTTTCAAAATGGTATAATGTCCCTCTCCTCCAGTGGAACACACGCCTTGTTGGCAGCTTATAGAGATGATATTTTCAAGATTAATGGGAACCATATCAAGATGTTCCTCTGGTAAATGTTACTCACATATGGTTTCACTGAAAATCCAGACCATTGTAATTTGTAACTAAGAAACATTTAGCAACTTGTAGGATTTTGTTTTTTTACGCGTGGACACAGGAGTGGGCAATGCAGAGATTAATAACAATCTTAACATTGATTCCTTGTAGGCAAAAGTTCAAGATGGATTCATATATATATATATATATATTAGGTGGACGGTCCGCACGCCTGTGCGGACATTAATATAATCTATACATTGCATGAATAAAAAATAATATAAATGTATAAATATATTGTAACTTTCTTTCTATTTTACATAGATATTCTGTTTTTTAATATATTTTTCTATCTTATTCATTTTGTTTCTCCTTGTATTTTTCACACATACGTTTTGTTTCTTATGTATCTTTTTTTGCATTATTTTGTATGTCTTTGTATACATCTCTCGCTCTCTTTTTCTTTCTCTCTCTCTTAGTTGATCAAATAATCTCAAAATCTCTCAAACTTACATTCACTCTCTCACAATCACATATATTCATTCTTTTACCCTCGTCCTTAATATGATCCTCAATATTTCACTTTAAAACTCTTTCTATCTCTCTTTGGTTGTAAAATTTTCCCCAGATTTTGTTAAATCTTCAAAACACTTTCACATAGTATTAATAAATGATTTCAGAATCTATCTCACTTATATTAAGTCTCTCACTTATATTTACTTTCATCTTCATTATGATCATACCCGACTCTCTAATCCTTATCATCACCATATCTCCCTCTCTTTTTCCCTTTCTTACATATTTTTTTATTTAGAATTTAATATAAAATCAAAATTGGCTAAACAAAAAGATTCTATATCAAATTCTCTCCAATTTTCACACTATTATCAAACATTGATTCCTTTGACCAAGATTTTCATTGAAAAAATAAATATCTTATTATTAATTTTTTTTAATTACTTCATTACATACATATTTTAAGTAAATCTAAATAACTGTATTTCAAAAAAGTAAATTTTATTAAATAATTATATAACATAAAATATCTTAATTCTTAAATGATGTGATGTCATTATTTTAGACATAGATTAATATAAACATGAGATTCAACAGTTTTAATATATCAAACTAACATGTTTCTAGTTGTATAAATTTTGTTATAACTTTGTTATCATATATTTTAAAAGTTTATTTACACCGCAAAAAATACTTATCCTTATTTTAAAATAATTTATTTTAATTTTTTATTTGCTTTATATTTTGCATCTTCAACATTAACAATTTTATAACTTATCATTTATATTTATCTTCCTTTCTCAATTTTTATTTATGTTGTATAAACACCTAAAAATAATTAGTTTACAATTATATTAATACGTAAAAAAAATTTGGTATACAAATAAAAAATTATGTATGTAGAAATACAAAATAACGAAGAATACAACAAAAAGTTATATTATTATTCACTCATGTTTTTATTTATGTGTCTTTTCTTTTTTTCTTATTAAAAATAAACATGCCAATTTTATTATATTTAAAGCTATATGAATAGAATCTTAACTCTAGTCTTGTATTAATATAATGTTTTGACTTTTTGTAATTTTATATTATAATAATTTTTTTCATTTATTCATATTTTTTCAAATGACATACCATATAATTTTTTGTTTTAAATATAAAAATACTTAAATAATTTTTGAAAGTGATAACTCAACGGTACTATCGAAATTTATCTCTGAAAAATGATAGAATATTTTTAAAATTTTACATTTGACTGTTTGCATTCATTGAACATATTTTAAGAATACATATATATATAGTGAGTGAGTATAAAAATACTATTAGTTTTCTGTAATGTATAATTTTTTATCCACTTTTAATAGAAAAAAATTTAATATCGTTTATATACTTATTTCTATAATATAATATGTACTTATATGTATATTCTAAATTTTTATAATGGAATATGTGATATTTAATTGTTTCTATAAACAAATTCTATTAATCCTATGTATTTAAGATGATTAATTGTTTGTTTGGTAATATATATTAGATTAGATAATTCTAGGATTAGTTTCCTTTTAAAAAACTTTAATTAAATAAATAAAAATTCAAAATCCAACAACCAATCAAATTAAGAGAATTAATTCTACATTGCACCTATGAATGACACATAAGCAAAATTCATTAAAGTGACTTCTCTTTTAATATATAGGGAGATATATATATATATATAAGTATATATATATATTGTTTTTATTAAATCTACTTAATGTATTCATACAATAATATTTTTAATTAATTCATTTATAATTCCTATATTTGTAACCTTTGTATTAATGAATTAAAGTTCTCTTTGTGTAACTACTGAATAATATCATTAGTCGAAAAAATTCAAAATCATTAAAATTCGTATCAAATAAAATATTGAGATACAAATGTTTTTAGAAATTGAAAATTTCGTATTTTTTCAAACTTGACTATGGTTAATGTTTATGTACATGAAAGCAACAAAGTATTGTGATAGGTTATGAATTAAGTTGGATCTTTAGTTTACCAGGTATTACTTTTTTTTATCAGATTGAGAATTAGAAATAAAATTAAACGGGTAGAAAAAAAGATATTGAAAAAGCTTTAAAGGAAAGACAATTCACGAAATCCATTGAAATGCATAATTTAGGTACCAAGTAAAGAGCTCACATTGTTTTCAATGCAACCATAACCCGCTTTCACTTGATTGTATCATATTTTTATTATATTTACTAAAA